TATGCGCACATCTCGCCACGCGCTCGAATTGGGCGGTAGGCCGGCCTAAGACAACGATTTTTAATAATTAATTACTCGTTAACTATTACGAAAATTGCAAAATGGTACAGGACTTTTCCGTTCATCTCGATCCGTTCTACCTTCTCAAAAATTTTGTCGGATATGAAAAGACTCACCCTGTATACATATATATATATACACCTTTTGGTAATAGCTTTCTCACCGCGACAAGGTATGTCAAATAGGCTTGTAATTTTATTAAATTGTGAATTCATATACCGTTTCTTTTTCCACATTTGTCCCGCGCGCCGATTTCTTTTCGGACATAACGCAGTTTTCTTACGGGCGGAGTTATTGTCGTCAGTGAATTCACATATTCAAATCGCTAAACGATTTGTAATGATTAAAAATGCTGTATTTTAGCATTTTTAGATGCTACATTTAGCATACAGTCCCCCCCCCTTTTGTCCGTACTGTAAAAAATAAATAAATAATAAATAAGTTACTACATCCGATTCGGTCCAAGGGACTTTTTAGCGCGCGAGAACTCGCTACGAGCACGGAAACACCGCCGGGCGAAATCGCTAAGCTTTACAAATGAAAGTTTTGAAACAACCGAAATTGAGCCAGACAATGCGTAATCGCGTTATCTTTGCACCCGGCCTTTTTTAAACTCCTAGAGTCAGCGATGGCGATTAATTAACGGGGACCCGACTGGAGGATAATAAGCAGCTTACACGTTAATTACGTGCCTCCGCGCGCCATGGGAATTACGTGCGAATCGAATCGCGTTAAAACAACGTATTAGCAAATAGGTCCTGATTAATCGAAGCGAATCGCAGTCGAGGGAAAGTTCGCGCATCCGGGATTAGCGCGCGTACCGCGTCCGGCGGTGCCCTTCAGTGTTTCGCGAAAGTGCCGGAACAAAAATGGAAGTGAGACGAGTCGCGGAAGAGAGTGGGGAGGAAGCGACTTTTGTGTCCGGGGACAAAAGATACGGGATATACCCCATGGTATAAGCCGTCTCTCCCGTACGGGAGAGAGAGAGGGAGGGAGAGACAGGGATAAGGAGCGAGCAGGTACTCTCCTAGGTCGAGGCACCGCGCACAACCCGCTGTTATACTTCTTATTTTTCTTCCTTACCGTCGTGTGCTTCAGCTGTCTTCTCCGACCCTTGTACCAGGTTATCACCGCGGGTGGCCTTGAACCAGTGGTCTCGCACTCCATGTCATACCGCTTCCCCGCTAGGAGGGACTCGTTGCCGATTCCCTTCCTACCCGGTCTTCTTATGATCACAGATAGAGGTTTCACTGAAAAAAGAAAGTTATAACATTGAAGTGTTAACTTTCAAGCCACTGTTCCGCTACGCGTCACATCCGTGTACGGAATTCTTACGTTGCCAGCGTATTCTGTTACGTGAGATCGGTGAGATCGGATATTAAAATTTATAATATTTGAAGCGAAGCGTCGATGAAAATCTCCTCAAATTATTAACATTTGGTCGGGAACTAATTTAATTAATTATTTGAAAAATTTGAAATATTAATTAAATTAATTATTTTATGCGTGATATTACTGCATATATTATACATATATTATACATAAATTTTTCATTCGCTTCAATAATTTGGCGGGAATTTATTTCTTCATAAAAACAGTTTTTAAGGAAATTTCCTACGCGATAAATATTTCACAAATATTTTATTCAAACAAACTCGGGGCACCAATGTATAAAGACGGATAAACGCAAGAGAGCTCAAAATTTTTTTACCGAAAACTTTGTTCCCTGCCTTAAGGAATTAAAAATGACCGATAAAAATATGAGAGCTCCAGCTACGCCCGTGTCAAATCGCTGAAATGGATCTCACGTAGCAAAATGATAAATTGCCGACCCTTCACCTCTGCACGAAGCTTCGGTATTTCGTATTGGTTGCGCGCAACGTGGAAACAATTGCGTAAGTTAAACAAATATTTTCGGCGTTGCCCGAGCGGACGCATTTAACGAATATTTATTCGGCAAATATTTTTGCGTAAAGAATGCACATTAAGTCGCGCGCATACGTTAGGAGGCACCGTTTTCCCTGCTAATCGAGCGTTTACGCATCGCCGACCGTCGCAAATCATCGTTTCTGATCTGCTATTAATAATTTGCTCTTTTCGCCGAGCCTCGCGTTCGCGTAAAAACCCGCGTGCGCTGAAAAACGCTGCACCGTCCTAAATTTTACTCGCGAAGTGACGATGGTTCTGACGGCCAATAAATCCAGGTTTCCAATTTGTTGGTGTCGACTAGATACGACTCGTTCGTTCGTGAAATATGGAAACTGTGAATGGAGATTTCCATACGCTGTTTGCGATGCACTTACTCCGATAATAGCGGCACGTATTCATTATTCATTATCTTTGTGTTACCGTCCTTATTATTATATAATTATTTACATATTAGCGCTGGTGTTCACATATAGACACTGAATATTTATTACCGCATTTATGTAATTCAGCAATTCATTTTGATAAAACAGTACGTTATTTTTTGTAGAGACGAATATTTGATATAAAAACCGGAAAATTTTATTACAAGTAATTATTCGATATGAAAACAGCATTCCATTCAGACGTTCCTGTGAAAATAGGAATTTATAAATTGACGCGATATCACGCGAGATTACAACAAACGCAATACGGCGTGGTGCAGCATTAACAACTCTGGCGTTATCGACGCAATGATCTTAGCCCGATAATGTTCGCCGAGTTTAATCAACTTTTAAAGTTGAAAAAATTAATTTAAGCACACTGATGCGTCTGTCGATGCGGCAATCTCGCGATCGACGCGAGTGGATGCGGTGTACGAGGCAGGATTTTTAATTTTCATCTCACGGGAAATAAAACGAAACGTAACAAATACGCATCGAGTGCGCGAGTACTTTGCCGTAGTAACGAAAGTCAAAGAGCATCCAACGTTTAGGCCAAATTCCGGCTCGTTCCTCTTCCTTCATCAAAGCTTCCTCTCTGATCGTTTCAATCTGTAATTTTTTATTCGCTATTTGGTCGCTCTTCGTTCATCGATAACGTCGTTAGTAACTTGGACGAAAATCCGTGATTTTTAGAGGACCTGATTATTGGACGCGTATCGATCACCGTCTCCCCGTATGGTCCTTGACATTTCTCCCGCGGAAAAGCGGAATTCCCGCTTTCATAATACACACGTAAAAAGGAGCAAGACTGATGGAATCCTTACGAGAACGTCGGTGATGGATAACGGTCTATAAGCGAATCATGGGCCGGCAATCGAATCGCCGACCCGATAACGATCGGGAGGGAAAGGGTCGCGGAAAATGGGCGAGTCGGCTCGCGCGATACAAAAATCCCATCGTGTCGCAAAGCCGACGCCGATCGTCGGATAAGGCACGAGACGTGGGGATAAGGTTTCGCCCGCCAATTTTTTGGTTTAGTACGAAAATTAGGAACGTCACCTTATCCCTATTCCACACCTCGCCCTTAGCCCGCCCTGGGCGGGTTAACGAAGAATTCTAATTTCGGAGGAGCCTAGGAGGATAGTCTTGCTTTTCATGCTCCTTCTCGCTCCCTCGCAGGAGGGGACGAGCGAGCCGGGCGGGACCGGAGGGTGGATTTAATATATTTCTCGTCTTATCTCGCCTTATCTTCCCTTAAAGGCGACTCACCCAGCGGCGAGGGAGCAAAGGATGTTGGCCCACTTTTGGTGTCTCGTAGATTTTATCGTTAATGCGAGACAAGATAGGCTCGGGGGCGAGGCCTCCTGATTTGTTGGCCGCGTGATAAGAACTTATATTTCCCGTCCTTGCTTTCATTAGTCTCCCGTTCTTTTAATACAAATATTCGGCTATTGCAGGCGAACGCGAGAGGAACGCAAATTTGTGCCGTGCAAATATTTTTCTACGTGGATGTCTCTTCTCTCGTAGAGTAAAATACTGTTTTGTTTGAATCATGCAACGGAGATATTTAGATTCACTTACAGTTGAGGTCTAGAGAAATCGATGTCTCCTTCGAGTCCACCAGGTCCGTGTTGCGCGCCTCGCAGGTAAAATTCGAGCCGAGGTCAGAGCGGCTGATGGGCTGCAGCGTTAATCTGTCGGTGTTGAAAGAAGTTAAGTACACATATAAAATTAATTCGCGTGTGCGAGGCGTGTGCGAGGGAAAGATTCCCCCGCGTAATATTACATGTACAAATGCCCGACGAGGAGGGAAAATGTCCACCAAAGAAATTACCTGTTCTCGATTACATCCCCAGCGTTATTTTCGTACTCCTCGTCCTTCACTCGGCCGTTTATGAGCCATCTGACCATCGGTTGCGGCTTGCCTGCAACCAGCGAGATATAAATTAAAATTTTAATTATAAATAAGGTTCCAATATAAACAACCATAAATTTAGAGAACAATGTTCGCCGTTAAGATAATTTGCGAGAAGAAATATAGGCAATGTGAGCCGTCAGCAGATCGAAGGTGGTCAAATTGTACAATTTTGGTATAAAAATATATTAGAAAATACATAACAGTGCGATAAAATTGTACGTTTCGGTCTACAACAAGATATCAGTTTATTTTACACTTCACAATGTGTTCTCTCTGAAAGTGAATCAGCGAATTGTCGCTGAAGACAGTGAACAATCACTGATTTAAAGTTACAAGTGTACCACTGCGATTTTTAGTGGTACACTTATAAGATGCCCGCCTAGAGTGTAGGGAGGTCCAGGTTCAAACCCAGGCTGAGGTAACATTTTTCGCAACAAATTTTCTGCATTATTACAAATGCCAGGTATGGTCAAGAAAACACTGACGTTGAAGACTATTCTGATTAGTTAATAGGATTAATGTTAAGCGACGTTTGGTGAAACCGGGCCTAACTATTCGCTGTTTCCAGCGATAATCCAGCGATTGACTTTCAGAGAGTTATCTAGGGCCAGTTTCGCAAACGTCGGTTAACCGTTAACCGGGATTAGGCCACTTTTGATCCCTTCCTCTGTATTATTATCTAAGAAGAGACAGAGAATCGATTAATCTCCGGTTAACAGTTAACCGACGTTTGTGAAACTGGCAAGATATTTCATCCGGCTCGTCGCTAGAGAATTATAGAGAATCTCGCTATACTCGGCATATCCTTCGTCGTAGTTACCCTCCGGAATTAATTACCTCCCGCAGGAGTATGCAGTGGCTATCCTCGTAATTATCATTCAGAGTCGAAAAACGAGCGAGGGATGACGCAGCGAAGTGCGCTCGCGGCAAGCGTTCGTCAGAGAGCAGCGAAGACCGTATACACGGTGAAACGAGCTTCGCCGAGGCTACTAAGCGGTAGACGAGTTCCCGGCAACTTTTAAATTAGCCGATACACCTCTCCCCCCTCTCTCTCTCTCTCGCGCTCTCTCTCTCTCTCTCGCTCTCTTCCTTCCTTCTCCTGTCCTCCCGGAGCTTTCGGTTTGCCGGTATGGCAAACAAAAACTGGGAGACTTCGGTCTCGAGGCGTTCGATAACTGCAAGTTATAAGTTGCCGCGCGCGCACCAACGTGGACGAGGGCCAATAAATACGGGTTGTATAACGGGCCGGAATATGCGGCGGGAACGATCAAAGCGATTGAAAAATTAAAAACGAGATTACACGGCCGACCCGCGGGGCCCGGGCTCTCTCCCTCCCGAGATCGAAATGAAGTGTGCGCGAAGGTAAACACGGTTATATTGCCCGCCCGTGTGTCCCCTCGCTACAAGATTGTTTTTTCAACTTTTCGCCCATTATCGCTCTTAAATGTTTAAACAATACGCTTTATTTCCTAGAAACGAAGAGGGGTATCATTAATGGCGTTTCAATCTCATTATATCTCTTAACTAACGTCTATTGACAAAAGGCAGAGAGGGAGAGAGAGAAAGAGAAGGGGGGAGATGGGGGAAGGAGAAGGGAAGAAAGGGAGGGAGGGAGGGAGAAAGAGAGGAATGGACGAGGGAGAGGGGATACATGGGGAGGAGAGGAAGAAGAGGGGGTGCAGGGGGAGAGAGGAAGTAACAAATTGATGCACGGTTTATATTGCGACTCCATTAAGTCTTTTACAGTACATGTGCTGTAATATAGTTGTCCTCCGACGACGCTGAAATATTAATGGGCACTTTAGCGCGCGATGCACATCCAATTAGACTACTTCCACCCTAAATATATCGGGAGCAAAAGTGCTGATTTGACGCTCGGTGATATCGGTGTTTTACCACGATATTAGCTTTATCTTTGCCGGCTACGTCGCGCCAATATTTGTGCTACCTGGCCGGGGTTGTGGAACACGGACCGACGATGTGATCAAGGGAGAGCCGTGTAACGAGAGTAACCGTGGCTTACGCCGGATACGAACTGAGGTAATTCCTTTTACGGGAAATAGTGTCGGGGCTCTGCGCAATCTCGCTTCGTTTCATACCTATTGAAAATGTGTATTCAGTCTCTCTCTCTCTCTCTCTCTCTCTCTCTCTCTCTCTCTCTCTCTCTCTCTCTCTTAGAAATGAATTTTCGCAGATAATATATCGTCCAAGTTACAATTCATTTTCATATTCATATCAAACATCTAAAAATATCCTACATATAGACAAAATTGTTAAGTGCACTAACGTTCACTCTGCCCATTAACAAGGAGAAAAACCGTGCAGTATTTTTTATTATTATTTACTTTAATATTTTATTTAATTTTTTATAAAACAGGTAATTTTTCAGTAATATAACTTTCTTGGATTTTTATTAGATTAAAATTTCCATAATTTTTTAGCGATTTGCACAGTAAATTATGTAATAACACTTGCATATAAAAACAAAAACCGCGGAAAGAAAATAGCGAAAATTGTCGGAGTTATGAGCCGTTGAAGCAGAATTCTTTCTTTTTTACTAGAGTAAACGCCGATCACGTTTTCAGCTGAACCAGCGGTATAAAAAAAGATCGTTGCAAGTACATCGTCTATCATCTGTACTTTTAGCGCGCGCCGCGGAAATTCGTGTAGAGGCGGTATTGGTAAAGTGACGGCCATGAAAGGTTCGAATTTTCAAAACTGTGAAAAATGGATTTTATTTTGTTTATGAAAACCGTTATACGTGTTTCCCCATTAATCCATCCAATACCACTGGACCGCGCATGTCCCAAGAAATATTTGAAAAAATTCCACTGGAATTACAAATTTTATCAAGAACGTAAAAAATACAATAAACAAAGATATGTTTTATCACGGCTCGTATAAATATCTCACTTTTAAAAAACAATCTCAATTTAATTTAATAGCAAAATAAATCTTTCCCCGGAATACGCACTTTCAGATTTAACACCAACATGTGATTATTCTTTTAGTAATATAGTTTTTAATTTCGTGCGGAATTAAATACCGTCGCGTGGCAAATTTTTTTTTTTCATTCAGATCGTAGCCGCTCAGACGGTCAGGCAAAAATCGCCGGGGAAAAAATAGACCAGAGCAATCCCTCGAGTCTAGGGAGTGCGGGAAAAATGTGCCATCCAAATGCCATCGTTTCATTGTTATTCACGGTAGCGCGCGGCGCCGGAAACGCAATTTAATCAGGTCCGATGCAACATCGACGCGACACTTAAAATTGCAACCTGATCTTCAGCCGGAAAACACGGCGCATAGCCGACGTGGGAACGGCCCGCCGCCTAGATTAGTTCCATATCATTGTTATTCACGATGCCCGCCAATCCTGATTGCGTTTTAACCGTCTCGTTGCTTCTGATTCTCATCGTTCTCGCCCCTGGTCCCCGCGCGTTTCCTCTTCTTGCCGTCTAGCGCGGACGCCATATTGCCGTCCTTCCAAATTAATTCTATCATGTTTATTAGGTTTTACCTGAATCGCGACGGAAATGTAATAAATTTAAGAGAGAAAAGATTTCCTTGTGTACTCCGCCTTTTGCATTTACGGATGCCTCTTATATCTACGCGTATTGGACATTTCTTCATTTTAATTTAGATATTTACTTCCATGAAGCCTCAGTTGCGTTCAAGTCCGTTTTGACATAACAACAGTCCTTTCGTTTAAGAAATAACTCGACCAATTTTATCCGAATGCCATTATACACAATCTGTAAATCTGTAACAAAATGTTACTAGGCATTTTAGAGAAGGCGGGACATTCAAGGTGACAATTTTGAGCGACAATTTCTTTTCGGATCGATTTCAAACGAAGAATTCTCGTCTGTCGGGCGAAAGTTTTACTGACTGCCGGGGGCCCACATTTCTCACCCGCTGTATAGCTTCCGCCCGAAAAGTCGGCAGTTCTTCATTCGCACAAAAAATACAGTTGTTCAAAACTGTCTTGCGCTCGAAAGTGCCTCCCAAGTTTCCCGTAAATTTATAGCAACACTTGAAGATGTTCCCGTACAAACGACTATTTTATTACGAGAGTACCGACGTACCAAAAGGGCGGACTGTATCTCCTCCTCCCCCCCTCCCCCCCCGAGTATCTGTTTACGCGGTCTTTCGTTCTACGCTGCGCGTAGTAACGTAAGCTGCGCGCATGCGAGGCTCTTCAGTCTCGTCGCCGCTAATTATACAAATCGCGCAATCTCGCCGCTTAAGGAAAATTCCCGGAGGGAGAGAAAAAAAATAAAGGAAAAAGCAGAGACGAGCGGGAGGGGGAGGGGGTGGGTGAAGAGGAAAAAGAGGAACGAATAGCCCGTTCGTCCGTGGAGTGCTGTACGCTTAATTCGACGGTGAGCATTTTTCAGCGAGCAGACGGCGCGTTATAACGACGCGGCGGTCCCACTTAATTCGTAAGCTCAGCCGCTCTCGTTTGCATGAGTACTTAGGGACGAGCGAGAGGTCGCTCGCCGCCCGTGGTGGTTGAGGGCCGAATAACGGTGATGGTCGTGAGGGGAGGGAGGGGGGGGGTAAGATCTCGTCGGGTCCCTGGCGTTGACTTAACCGCTCGGACTACGTTGAAAAACCCCCTCAGCCCCTCGACACGACGTAAGGCGACGCGACGTGACGCGCACCCTCGGCCCCGTCCTCTCGTCTCTCCCCCTCGGGTCCGGCGACAAGCAGGGCGCTATCTGCGGGGGGAGGAGGGGGGGCGCAGAGAGGGGACGCTAAAGTGCGGATTTTAATCCGCGGATACCGGACGATATCTTCCGGGATTAAGAGCGGGTCCGCAAGCGCACCCGGGTCGGGCATCTAACAAGTTTACCGTCGGTTCGAACTCCGTTTAAAGCAAATACCTGCTACGTCGGGGACTCGGCGAATCCTCTCGGCAGACTCAGCTCCTTTACCCCCGCCACCCCCCCGTTCGCCGTCCGCCGTCTCGTCATGATTTAGGAGACTCCTTGTTTGATTAAAGCC